GAATAAGCGAAACTGGATATGCTCAGGAGAGATTTTGGTAATTTCTTAGCTGGAACAACTACCATTATCACCCTTCCAAAACTAGAATAGAAATTATCTTTATTCTGGTGTGTTCAGGTTATTTTCATGTCGGTATTCTGCTTGTAGTTATGAAATCCTGGTTAACCGGATGTCGAAAGGTCGTAAACATGTGTTAATCATTTTGGTTTACATAGATATAGTTCATTGTCAAGCTTTGAACTAAGCTAAACAATGGAATATCTGTGCTCTGTTCACCGGGTGGGGGGATCGAACCCCAGATTTATGCATTGTAAGCCCTGAAACTCACAAATGATCCAATGGGCGGCCGTTCCAACACAGGCTGCAACTTATAGTTTACAAACATAAAAAAGTAATTTTCCGACAACATCTTACCTTCTTATCCAATATTTACTAAATTTGAAATATCTGGTGTTTAGTTCTTCTAAAAAAGAAAAGAAACAACGTAATAAAACCCGAAATAAAATGATTCAGGGAGAAAATTTAGTACTGGTGTTTGTAACTTGAATGGCCCAATCGGCCATGTCAATAACCCTTAGGGTCAGGCCTATCCACCCCTAATTTAGATCTACTGACCAGAGTGAAAGCAACCAGTTAACAACATCCACCCTGTACGTGGCTATTCTTAACCAATTAGTTTGTAAAGTCCATTGTGAATCTTTGAACAATGGTATATCTGCACTCTGTCCACCTCGGGGAATTGAACCCCATATTTGAGTATTGTAAGTCCCAAAAACTCATCACTGACCTAATTGGAATAGTTCCTTACGTGAAAACGAGTTATTTATAATTAACTATATTCCCCCCCCCCCAACAACTCGATTGTTTTCGTTTTAATTTGCAAATCGCTCGACAGATGGCGGGGTTATCAGTTTTTAATGATGATCAACAGGTGCTGTGTTTCATATTATTTTGCACTTCACCAAATAGTAAGTTTGTTTCATGTGTGTATCATGGTAAAAATATGTACAGATTTAAGAATGAGTGATTATTATAGTACAATATATGGTGTATATGGTGATTAGGTTAGATCTTAAATCTCGCGTAACTTTATTTACATAATTACCTCATCACTTATTTACATTATAACCGAAAACAACAACAACAAAAACACAACGATTAACATAAAGTTATTATTTGATTTATCCAGCCATGGCTGACCAGAGACAACTTAAAGATGGACGACTGATTTCACAAGAATGTTGTCCGTTATTTTCAGTATTCTCACGCAAAGGTTTGGTTATTCGGCTTAGCCGTTCCTGATAGAACAAAAGGAAGGCAGTTAGTGAACAGCACACACCGCCAACTGTTATGCTACTTTCGTCTGACTTAATAGTGGGTTTTGTCGTTAGTCGTATAGCGTTCATCCATGTCTCCAAAGAACGGAGCGCGTTCTTGCGGCAACAGACCTCACAAACTCTAAAGCTTCGTTGTCAGACATTTGGTCGTCCGTAGAAAATGACAAATAACATAGTTTGTGAGTCTAGTAAGAGTGTTGACTAAAACAAAACGAAGAACTATAATTAACAACCAAACTGTTCAATAACATCAGGGATAAAAAATACAAACACTCCGAATGAAAAAAAACAACAAAACGGAATCGTGGTGATGATGGATTCCAGATGATACTTTAACTATTATTATTTTATTATTAACAAAAGCGACTGTCCTATGTTGACAGTGACTAAGCGAAGTTGGATATGGTCAGGAGAGATTTTGGTACCTGATGATGACAAAACCTTGTCGAAACGTTGTACATTTGTAAGCTAATTGTAAAATGTATATATAATAGACGCACGTTGTAAATAAATATTATATATACATTTTACAATTAGATTACAGCGCACGTTGGTAAGCTAATTGTAAAATGTATATATAATATTTACAACGTGCAATGTAAGCTAATTGTAAAATGTATATATAATATTTACAACGTGCGCCGTAATCTAATTGTAAAATCCATATATAATATTTACAACGTGCGCTGTAAGCTAATTGTAAAATCTATATATAATATTTACAACGTGCGCTCGTAATCTAATTGTAAAATGTATATATAATATTTACAACGTGCGCCGTAATCTAATTGTAAAATCCATATATAATATTTACAACGTGCGCTGTAAGCTAATTGTAAAATCTATATATAATATTTACAACGTGCGCTGTAAGCTAATTGTAAAATCTATATATAATATTTACAACGTGCGTCGTAATCTAATT